CTAGAAAGTAGAGAGCGTGAGAATCACATGATCTCGATGACGCAACAATAAGAACTCATAAGATAATCTATGTGTTCAAACTGGTTTATGTCTTTTTATTTTATGTTTTAAATCCAATAGTTATAAGGTTACTTTTAATGTATTTACAGATGGAAATACCGAACTCCTCTCACGTCTGTGTTATTTGTAAGGGAAGTTTACAGAATGAAAAAGCTATTGTGTAGTTACGACTGAAAGGGTCTGCCGGTATAAACATTGCAAGCACTAAACGTGGTGATAACATACTCACTGTTCCAGGGCAATATGTTCACACAGAATGTTGCAAAATTATTGTAATCCAAATGTCATTAAACGTGATAGTAAAACATCTTCACATATTTCTACATGTAAATTGCCTTTACTAAGATCTGGTAATGAGCAGTTTTGCTTTAAAGAACAGTGGTTGTTTTGTGGCCAAGCTGCAAAATTATTTGAAAAAAAGCGAGGATTAGATGTGTTTCCTGTCAGAACTATAGACTTCCAAAATAGTATTAACAAAGTATGCATTGAACGTGATGATAGGTGGACTGATGAGGTCGGAGGATGACTGGAAAGTGTTAGTGACTTCCCCGCAGCAGATGCTATATATCATCATTCCTGTGGTGTCAATTTTAGGACTAAGAAGTGTATTCCGGAGGTTTTTCACCAGAACAACAAACACACAGTGAACGTCGCGCGGAAGGCCTGTTCATGCTAACTTAACACAAGAATTTTTCTCTGTTGTCAGTCACCTTGAAGAAAATGACAATGAACAAATAACGATTAAAGATATTGTTGAAAAAATGACATCTGGACAACATGTTATACGTATAACTGATAGGTATTGGGCTGGATTATCAACGGATCTTATTATCGAGCAAGTCTTAATGAGAAGCGTGAAGACAAGTGGAGGCATGACTAGAGGAAAGGGTATGAAAGAAACACAACAAGCTCAGTGGTTACTATCATTGTCCTCGTGTGCAGAGGTAAATAATTCAGGATTTCAGTGGAACTGTTTATTACACAAGTAGTCAACACAAAGAGTGTGGCCAAGCCAGGAAGGAAAGGGACTACAAAGACACAAACGTACTCCTATCTTTTCTACTAGAAAGAAATCCGTTTATCCAAGACCCCTCATTACGCAATATTGAAACCGGTGTGGCGTCTGATTCATCTGTAAATGTGTACAACGCAAAAGAAATCGGATCGAAAGTCTTACAAAAAATGGTTGGTAACAATGTGATGGAGTATTCTTTCAAAAGATCCCAGCAAGCAGTGACACTTACTACAAAGCCTGTAGTAAAATTAGATGGCGAGTCAATTCAGGTTGACCCCCAGCTACTTTTTCAACGTCTTACAACAGCTGCAACTAGATCGGAAGAAGACATGTCACACATATTTGGATATGAACTTTGTAGTATTCAATCTGCACTGTGTGATCCATCAGGTTTTCCAAGGCAACCACAAAAACCAGCATTAGCTGATGCGATTTGGACTTAAAGAGACTGTAGAAAACAGGAATCTATTACTGAGAATGTTCAACATGTGTTAGATGGATGATCATTGTTACAGCGCATGCCATGGCAACAAGGCACAGATTTCGCAAATATTTGTAATGTGTATGTAGATTATATATCTAAAAAGTATGTGGATCCAGTACCAGTCAGGACCATCAACAAAGGATGTAGCGGCGAACGCATGGAGTTTCGGTTCGAATGTTCGACAATACGCCATTCAAATGAAAAAAGAACACATTTTTAACGAACTCTGAAAACAAACAACGTTTTATTTACATGTTCGGGTGTCGACTTTAAAATAGGGGATCGAAATTGTATATGCTGAAGGCGATGTGGATCTCTTACTAGTCAAGACTGCAGTTGCTTGTGCAGAAACTCGTGAAACAATGGTGATCGGTGAAGACACGGATTTTCTCATATTGCTATGCTATCACGCTAATACTCAGAACAGTAATATATTTTTCAAGTCAGAAGGGAAACAGACTACGTACAAAGAATTCGGGACATTCGGCAAACGAAGATGATACTGGGAGTAAACACCTGTCGATATATGCCGTTCGTTCGTTCGTGCTTGCTCTGACGGGCTGCGACACAACATCTCGCATTTATGGGATTGGAAAAGGGGCAGCACTTAAAAAAACTAGGATATGATCAACATTTAAGGGAGAATGCAGAAGTGTTTTGCAATCAGGGTAAAACAAGAGATGAAATACAAAAAGCCGGATAACAAGCACTTATATGTTTGTATGGCGGAGTTCCAATTGAGGGATTGGATTTATTGCGCTTCAGACATTTTGCACGAAAAGTAGTTTAAACCACAACACACGTACAGGTACATACAATTCCTCCTACATCCGCAGCCGCACATTACCACACCATGAGGGTCTGTTTTCAAGTACAAACATGGATCCACTTAAATGACAAAATGTTACCACAAGAGTGGTGATGGTCAGTTGTAGGCAATAGCTTATTACCAGTTAAGACACATTTACTACCAGCTCCAGAAAACCTATTAAAATTATAAAATGCAACTGTAAAGCGAATTGTGACACTAAACGTTGTACATGTAGGAAGCATGGACTTTAGTGTTCTGTAGGCTGTGGAGAATGTAGGGGTGTTAACTGTACAAATGTAACACAACTGACAGAATCTGCCATAAATGAAGACATAATATAAAGAGGAAAATGTGCCAGCTTCAAGATAGGATCGTCTGGTTGTAAAGCAAATATATAACGAATTTAATCCTATTTTAAAATCAATGTGCGATATCTTTTTAATAACGCCACAAAGTCAGAATAACTGGTTCTGGTTTGTATATTCTTCTTCTTAGTTCCTGTCGTTCCTAGTGGAAGTGTTGTTGCAGTTTCCGTAGCAGATTGTTATCGGGGTGGAGTTGCTAGCCCCACGCCCAAGTGGGCATGTTTGGTGCGACAAGGAACCCGCGACCCTCGGATTGCGAGTTGAGTGACTCATCCACCGGGCCACCGTTTATAGAAAGATGTGTGTGTGTGTGTGT